TGGGTTCCAAAAAGTGGTGCTCCCTACTATATTTCTAGAGCTCTATGGTTAATTTTAATTTGGATGTTTCTAAATAAACATGTTGGAATCTCTACTTTGTAACTGATTCTCATATTCTACTGTCCCCTCTTTTGACTTAAGTTTTTAAGGGGTGTTAGGAAATGAACCCTAATTTTCAGGTACATCCATATGACAAGAATCAATAAGATAGCTAAAAGCAAAATACTGCAGATTCTGGAAATCTGAAATAAAAACAGAAAATTCTGGAGAAACTCAGCAGGTCTGGCAGGGAAACAGAGTCTTCTTTAGAACTCTTCGTGCCTGGAGTTCTAAAGAAGACTCAAATCAGACTTGAAATGTTAACATTGTTTCTCTCTCCACAGATGTTGCCAGATCCACTGAGTTTCTTCAGGATTTTCTGTTTTTATATCGAAATGACAGCTGGTCGCTAAACTGTTTTAGTAAATTCATCTTTTCCCTGACAATTTCAGCCAAAGCTTAAAATCAAAGAGTTTCTACAAGAAAAAGTATGAGGCTTGATAGTTGTAATGTTTAAATTTCTATGGTGGCTATAAGACATTCCACATGCTTCAAGCTTGATCAGCATCCAGCCGGTTTAGCTTTTAAAAATAATTAATGGATTAAATCTGTCTTGAGTAGCTGCACAAAATAGGTGGCATTGCAACATCTGCCTGTTACATAATATTAAATTGCTCAACCCTATATTAAGTTACACCGATATCAATAAATGAAATCTTATAGGGGTTTGAGTAATGTGGGCTATGACAAGATTTGTGGCAGGATCAAACAAGACATCTAGTAAGACTCATCTCAACATCTGGATCATCTTGCTCAATCTCTTATGCTTTTCACAGGTGGCGTGGCAATTTTCTAACTAGGCAGCAGCATGGCAAACAAACTAAATGTCAAGATATATCAACACAGAAACCAGAGCGAATGCATGGCAGATTCAGCACGCCGCTGTTCCAAACAATCTCCAAGTTGGACACAGCGCATTATTTATTTCAGAGGACACTCAATGGGCATTGGCTAAATGCACCTCATATCCAGAGACATTGGCATCCAATATGTGCTGAATCCTCTTGGTAGTTCTCCAATCTACTTATAGGTCACTTCTGCACTTCACCTTGGGCTGCAAACTGGCGACTTTTCTTTTAAAACTGCTGCAAGAACGCTGTGCAATCAGGGACATGTACCCAGCTCATGGATTGGACCATGCTGCATCACTGGGCTCTTCACTCGCTGTCATGGCACTCACTCAATCTGAGCCTGTCACAACACCCCTGTCTTGCATTACCTTGCCTTGCCTTTTTGTGCTTTTTCCCCTTCAGGCTCATTTTATCTCACCATTTAGCACAGACAAAAAGGCAGGAAGCTTTTCACGGTTGTCAATGGGTCTCAGTCAAGTGTAATGGGATAGCCTTGGGTCAGGGGGTTTTGGTACAGCAAGTCAAGGGAAGCCTCTAATATGAGTCCAGCAGCTTGGAAACAGGGTCAGGATGTTCTCAACATAAGGAGTGAAGAGCTGAATGTTGGGCAGCCTTCCATCTGTCTTGAGTTTTCTGCCCTACTAAGGGCTGTTTTCCTCTGTGAAAGAGACAGAGGCAAGTATAACGGGACATGAAAGTGGGTGGCAATGCTGTTACTTTTGGTGTGGTTCGGGAGGTGTCCCAAATGAGTGAGTAAGCAGCACAGAGGGCATTCAGGTTTAGTGGTGTCATGGTTGGAGGAGAGTGGTCGACAATTAACCTTGGTGGTGGATACAGCAGAGATAAAGTGGGTATAAGGTTTCAGAAAGAAGATAATGGTGCTTGTGCTGTCAGTATAGAGAAGGTAGACTTTCTTTCTACAATACTGTGCATTCCTCCAGGTGACTGACGCTGATTTAAACCAGTTGCAACCTAAGACCAGGCTAGCATGATCTGATGTCTTGGCCTCCACTCCTAGTCCTGAGGAAGAGAGAATCCTGCCACTCCACTACTCTGTACAGCAAGATTTCCAGGTCCCTGTCTATGCGTTGGGAGGTGATTTCCCTTGTCTCCTTTGTTTGGGGTAAATGTTAGGAACCGCACAAGGTAGTTCCAAACTGA